CTCGACCCTAGCCTAGGTTTCTCCTATACATTGACTGCATCATGAAAGAGAACATCACATCCACGGTTTGTCTTGTTACACTTGAAGCATATTAGTGGTAAACGGACCACTCAGTAAGGTACCAACTATGACATGGGTGCCAAGTCAAACAATATAAGTGACATATTTTAGCTATTAGCTATGTCGAGTTATGCTATACAAAGCTCAACACATTTGCATGCTAGGGATTCCTAGTTGTACTCTTGCATGTTGTCATAATCGACATTTTCATTAGTCTCATTCGCTAACATGGTAACGATTATGTTAGGTCCGTGCTTCATGTCGCCTACCAGGCCCTATTTTTTCAAAGAAAAGCACTCTAATTCTCTGAAAATCAGAGCCATTTCTGAAAGCAACTATAAACTTACTAGTAAAAAAATGGAATAAAATAAAAATGTTTTCTCTGATTTGTCAGAGTTTTGTTGTAGGCTATTCTATTGGCTCTTGGTTCTGGCTGAATCACCGAGTACACCCCGTTGATTTTGTTTGCGTGTTGGCGGCATTTTGTGCCAGCGGAAGCAGCGGAAGCATTGGGCGGGACCACCCACAGGATCGACCCAGGAGGGTCGACCTGCTCTGATAGCATGTCGAAAGCCCAGGCAGAAAACGAGAAACAGGAAAGAGATGTTTTCACTAGCAGGCAGTTGAGTACATATAGCAAACCCTAATTTGGGCTGTACTCGCTATAGAGTACCCCACTGCAGGCTAGACAAACATCACATTTTGACAGCTGCTGCGGCTGCTGCTGCTGCTGCTTCTTCCATTCTTTCATTATTTCCTCATTTCTTTCTTTCTTCTTGGGGGGGGAGGGAGGGGGGGCTTTCAAACTATACTAGTATAATTTAGTTAGGGATTTAGTTTAGCTATGCTATGCAACACAATTGCAAATTAAAATTTCCTAGATGCACTCCTCGATGCCGTCAGAATTAACATTCATGTTCATTCCATTTGCTAACAGTGGGAATGAACAAGAATAATGGGAGCATCCTCTCCCTTTTTCATGGTCCCGCGGCTACATTGGGCATGGCGCCAACTCACCTGATTGAGCCATCCACCTATCCTATGGTGTTTACTTATGGTAGACCTTGCTCAATTAAGCTGTTCGGCAAATTCTCTGCTTCCATTATGAATTCGAGCAATCTGTCGCAAGGGAATTTGGTACATCACAAACCACTTATGTAGTGATTTTTTAGTGACTGTGTAGCATGGGGTTAGGCCATCAAACTCTTGGAGCTCTTCCACTAACTGCGCCTCCCAACCCCCCCAAAACCGCTAGCTCCACTAGCCTTGTCTGCACCTACTTCCTCACCGGCTCTGCTTGCGCCTCCTTCTCCTATCCCCCTTTTCCCTCCTCGCACGCCTTCCACGACCCTAATAAAATCATCGTCGCCAGACATTGGGCCGCCTTGCAGTCACCAGACGGATAATGAATTGAACGAAGGTGATGGAGACGAGCTAACAGTCCAGCGTGCACAGTGGGTTAACTTTGACTGTCCAGTCGACGACGACGACTACTTGCCAAATTCCCAAGATGCTATTGAAGACGAGATTGAGTATTGGTTCGCTGATGGTCTTCAAGAGATACTATTCTGTTAGAATTATACTATTATAACTGCATGTAGTTCTAGCATTAGTGTAGTTATTATGATATCCTGCTTCGTGGTGTACCCCCTTTCCTATCCTATATCTTGTACCCTTGTCATAGTGAAAGCCCCTTCTCTCTCGTCTTTCTCGTTCTACCCTAGGCTCTAAGCCTAATGATTCTAACTTGGTACCAAAAAAAAAAAAAAAAAAAAACACACACACACACACACACACACACAGGCTGCTGTAGCAGCCTCCCAGGCGCTCTTGCGCCTGCCCGTATCGCCCGTCCAGTCGCGTCCGCGACCCCGTTACCGCGTCCCCCGCACGCCCCGTCGGCAGCCCGCGGACGCCCCGTCGGCAGCCCTCGGACGCTCCGAGCGCGTGGCGGCTTTTTCTGCCTGCCGCGTGCTCGGGGCGCGTGGCGGTTTAACCGTCCGTCGAGGCGCCTTCAGGGGGCCCGTGCGCTGCCTCTCGTCGCCCGTCGCGGCGTCTTCAGGGGGCCCGCCCGCTACCCCCTCCTGTCACTCGTCGCGACGCCCCGGAGGCCAGCGCGCCACCCCCTCCCGTCTCCCGTCGTGGCGCCTGGGGGCCCGCGCGTCGCCCCACTCCCGTCGCCTCGTCGCGGCGCCTTGGGGGCCCGCGCGCCGCCCCCTCCCGTCGCCTCGTCGCGGCGCCTTGGGGGCCCGCGCGCGGCCCCTCCCGTCGCCCGTCGAGCCGCCCTCGGGGGCCCGTGCGCGGCCCCCCTCCCGTCACCCGCCGTGGCGCCCTCGGGGGGCCCGCACCCGGCTTGTTCGTGGCGCCCAGGAGACCCCCCCGCCTCCTCCCTTTCCCTCCGTGAACTGCCCCTGCTGCTTCCCGCGCTCCTACCTGCGTTAGGGTTTGGGGGTGGCGGGCATGGGGGTGCACGATGTGGGTAACCTGCAGCTCCTCCTCCTCCTCCGTCTCCCACTACTACAACTGCCGCTGAAGGGGGTGGGTGTGTGGGAGCCGAGGGTTTAGGGTTTAAGGGGGGTGCCGTGGGAGTGGAGCTAGGGTTTCAGCAGGGGGTGTGTGAGAGGGGGGTGGGACGGTCGGGGGAGGTTGAGCGGAGGCTGCCGTCTTGTCGTCAGCAGCACCTGTAGTCCGGGGCGCTGTCCTGGTAGCCCAGTCGTAGCCAGCTGCGCCAGTCGCCCGTGGGTCCGTTGCTCCTGCCGCTCGTCTTAGCCGCGGAGCCAGTCACTCCAGTAGTCCGGGGCGCTGTTCCGGTAGCCACTGTGCCAGTGTGACTCCTGTTGCCCGTGTGTCTGCAGCTTCAGCCGTCGCCTCCTATCTCCTCTCCTCTTACAGTCTCGCCTCCTCCTCCTCACTTGCCCTTTGTGAATGCCTCTAGCTTTGCTGGCCCTTGTGCACCTGCTCTGTGACTTCCTGCTATGCTGATTATACCCCACTTTGACTATGGGGGTGTGTCAGAATATAATGCTTGTCTAGTCTGTAGTGGGGTACTCAATAGTGAGTAAACCCTTTTAGGGCTTGCTATTTGTACCTCCCTTCTTTCTAGTCAAACCCTCCTTTGTTTAATTCTCTCTTGCCTAGCTAGGTAAACCCTAGCTATGGCTCCTTTTTCTACCTACTATTTCGACAGACTCCCCGTCGGCTGCCCCGCGGACGCCCTGCCCGTCGCCCCGCGCGCGCTCTGCCCTGCGCGTCGCCCCGCGTGCGCCCTGCCAGCGCGCACGTAGGCGCCAGCAGCAGCTCACGCCGCCCCCACCCCTTCCCATCCGCGGCTTCTGCTGTTGTGGGGGGGGGAAGATGTGGGGGTGGCGGGGGGGTGACCAGTCGGCAGCCCGTCCCTCCCCTCTCTCTTCCTCTCTCCCTGCAGCACTTGGTGCTGTGGGGGGGGGGGGGGGGAGAGAAGTTGAGGGGGGATGAGAGTAACCTGTTTTGTTTCTCTCTCGTTCTTCTCCCTCTCTCTTCCGCTGCATCACTTCTCGCTACTCCTCCTCCTCGTATCCGTCGTATCTGGGCGCCTCCCTCGTGGAAACAGCAGCACGCAATAGCAATGACAACCACTGCTACTGTGGCACCTACTTCTGCAGCCCCTGACGCTTCTCTCTCTTCGTTCGTCTTCTTTGCTGTTGAGCTACAGGCATTGCCGTTGAGCCCTGCGTTGCCGCCACCCTTTCTAGCCGCACGCACCTGCTCTCCAGGCTACCTGCGCCACATGCACCTTCTCTTTGTTTCTTTCTTGCCTCAGGGCTTTCTGCAGCTGTATCATCATTGTTGCACCAGGTTGCTCCTGCTTTTGAGTATCGCTGCTTTGTTCTGCTTTGTGTACCCCTGCAGGTTGTGTTTTGCACTTTGCTATTCCTGCATGCAGTTAAGGGGGGATGTTAGATTTATACTATTATAACTGCATGTAGTTATAGCGTTAGCGTAGTTATCATGATATCCTGCTTGGTAGTGTACCCCCTTTCCTACCCTATATCTTGTACCCTTGTCATAGTGAAAGCCCCTTCTCTCTCGTTTTTCTCGTCCTACCCTAGGCTCTAAGCCTAGTGATTCTAACATATTCATCCCTTCCTTGTGATCCCATTCATTTTACCCATCTACTATTAAGGTGATGACGGAATTTGTGGATATATGCCAACAATGGTACAAGGCACGTATTGTTATAAATACAATATGCAATAAAAAATGACATATGTTAGGCTACCCTTAGACCTCTTCAAGTACAATCAATGATCAATAAAGTAAGAAACAACTCATTTCAAGTCTGTATGAACATAAGGTAATTAATTTGGATTATTTCAGACATATGTATGTATTAAAAAGAGAAATCCCTAGCTTGAAAGGGGGTTTTCTAGTCTGAAGTCAATTTCATAAGAAGTATCTCTGATGGAAGAGATTTTTTTCATTTGAAAGCATACTTTTGTGATGTGGATGGATAGAAGGTGTGTGTTGTAGTTTTCATGTTTATCCATAGAGAAGTGATTAGGGCCATAAAATGTTCAACCCAGCCAGACCGCTGCCTCCTGTCCATGAAATCGTTCAGCTGACCTCGGCCGAGACACACGACCACAGAGATTACCTAGCTGGAGGGTGAGCTGACGAGGTTCGGCCAGCGGAATCTCGCGTCGCAGTTGAGGCTCGGGCAGCTCCCCGCCACCAACTTCTCACCAACCCCAATGGAATCATTTTGGCACCTCGAGCCACCTGCTTCCACGGGTTGCTGTCCAACCACAGAAAATAATGGCCTTGTAACACGCTTCCACGTGCCAATCACTAGCTGGACGACCTTTACAACGTCGGGTGGGCGCCCTTTCCTTTTCACCTCGCGCCCCGCAACGGACGGTCACCAAGGTCTTCGGCGCATCAGTCGGCGCTGTGAGAACCACATGTGCCATTCTCCCCATCCCAGAGTTTCCGCTGGGGGGCTGATGCTTTCCGTCGCTGACACGTACGAAGGATCTAAGTGCGCGGCCTTTTTTCACCTGCTGCGCGCCATACGCCACTTCCTGGGAGGGACTTGCCTCGGTTCGTTCGGATGCCTCTGGTTCGGTTTGGCGGTGGAAGGAGGTCCAGCGAAGGATGAGCAAGTAAGCAGCCACCATCCAACTTCCGAACCGCCTTGACGCGTGGACCTCTGGCCCTCACCAACCAATAATTCACGCTCCAAGCCAAAGTCAGGGCCCAGGAAGGCCAATCGTCAACCACCAACCTCGGGGCAAGCTTGGGCCAAGCTTTGGGGATAGAGAGGTTGGTGGTTTCCACCTGATGCAAACCCACCTTACCCTATTCTCCTCCACAGACGCAGCGGTTCGGAATTTGAATAAAGGGGGACGAGTTAATCATTGTGATCATCCCCGCTCACTTGCTTTCGTGCTTTCTGCTCTCAGAGCGGCGATCAGCAGCTCCGCTGCTGTCCCTGTTCGCAACTTCGGTTGCGAGTGCTATCCTACCCTCCTCAAGCCTCACGTGCTTCCTTAGGTAAGCATTTGATTAGTTGATCTCCAGGCTACTTCGCTAGTGGAGTCTTGTACTTTGGTTGAACTCTGCTCCGGTGTTGCTGCAATCACTTGTTTCGTTCGCCCCGATCTTCAAATTCACGATAACTTACCTTTCTGTATTGTCGTTGCTTCTGTTTCGTGCAGAGGAAGTTATGGCCCCCCGCAAGGGAGCTGCCCAGGTGGCGAAGAAGCCGGCTGTCGCCGAGCTTCCGCCTTTCGAGGAGTGCAATGTCAGCAAGACGATGATTGAGCCGTGGCAGAAGGTCGCTTCGGCGTCTTCTGCCGACGAGCGTGCGGCAGCCATCGATGCCGCTGTTTCCATGCTTCAAAGCGAGGGCCCCGCTTCCATCGTGGCCTACAAGGTTGTCAAGCGCGTCAAGTACTCCGCAGTGGACCTGAACGCGTCGGCGCGCGAGGGAGCCATGCTCTTCATCTCGGCTCTCGTCGAGAAGATGGGCCGCACCTGCGAGCCCTTCCTTATCGAGCTCCTTCCCGCCGTTCTCGTTCTCTACTCCGACAAGCTCCAGAGCGTCCGTGCCGCCGCCGACGCCGCCGGTCGTGCCATCTGCAGCAGCATCTGCCCGTTCGCCGCGAAGCTCCTCCTGCCCGCTATCTTCGAGGGCATGTCCGACCGCAAGAACTGGCGTACCGCCGAGGGCGCCCTCGTCCTCCTCACCGTGCTCGCCAACGCTGCCCCGCGCCAGCTCGCCCGCTGCCTGCCGGAGATCGTCCCCAAGGTCTCGGAGGCGATGAGCGACAGCAAGGAGCAGGTGCGCAAGGCCGCCTACGACGCCATGACCGAGGCCTGCGCCGCCATCGGCAACCGCGATATCGAGCAGTTCATTCCCGTGCTCGTGAGCTCCATCGCCCGCCCCGTCGAGGTTCCCGAGACTGTGCACAAGCTGTCGGCCACCACCTTCGTGCAGGCCGTCACCGCGCCGACCCTGTCCATCATGGTTCCGCTCCTCTCCCGCGGTCTCCGCGACCGCGCGCCCGCCATCAAGCGCAAGTCCGCCATCATCACGGAGAACATGAGCAAGCTCATCGACGACCCGCTTGCCGCCGTGCCGTTCCTGCCCAAGCTCCTCCCGGGGCTTGAGCTTGTGAGCAAGGAGGCCGCCGATCCCGAGATCCGTACCGTGGCGACCAAGGCGCACAAGACCCTGTCGGTTGTGGGCGAGGAGGCGCAGGTGATCATGGCGAACCTTCTCAACGACAAGGAGCAGGTGGAGATGGTCCTTACCGTGCTCAAGTCTACTCTCGCGGAGATTGCGCCGATTGTTGTCGACGACGGTGTGGTGGCGACGCTCGACTACGTCGCTGCGATGTGTGCGGTGCAGATGATCCTGAAGAACTTCGAGGAGGAGGACTGGCAGAAGATGATCGTGCCGTCGCTCAAGGCGTTCGTGTCGGAGGAGGACGCCGAGAAGGTGGCGGCCAAGGTGCTGCAGCTCTGCATGGCGGACTACGAGTCGCGCAAGGTGAAGCAGTACGAGGAGGAGGACGACGAGGGCGAGGAGCTCTGCACGTGCGAGTTCTCCCTGGCTTATGGTGGCAAGATCCTGCTCAACAACGCCGGTCTCTTCCTCAAGCGCGGCCGCCGCTACGGTCTGTGCGGCCCCAACGGCTGCGGTAAATCGACGCTCATGCGCGCCATCGCCAACGGTCAACTCGAGGGCTTCCCCAGCCCCGACGAGCTCAAGACGGTGTACGTGGAGCATGACCTGGACGCGTCCGTTGCTGAGGTGGCAGTCGTGGATCTGATCATGAACGAGCCTGCTCTGGCCGGCATCGAGCGCGAGCACGTTGTCAACACGCTCGCCAGCGTCGGGTTCACCCCCGAGTGGCAGCAGAGCCCCGTCGCCGCGCTCTCCGGAGGGTGGAAGATGAAGCTCGCGCTCGCCCGCGCCATGCTCATGAAGGCGGACATCTTGCTGCTGGACGAGCCGACCAACCATCTCGACGTGAAGAACGTGGCGTGGCTGAGCGACTACCTCAACAGCCTCAAGGACGTGTCATGCATCATCGTGTCCCACGACTCCGGTTTCCTCGATAACGTCTGCACCGACATCATCCACTACGAGAACCGCAAGCTGAAGCAGTACCGCGGCAACCTGAGCAAGTTCGTGGAGCAGAAGCCCGAGGCGAAGGTCTACTACGAGCTGGCCGAGGCGACCATCAAGTTCACGTTCCCCGAGCCCGGGTTCCTCGAGGGCGTCAAGACCAAGGACAAGGCCATTCTCAAGATGTCGCGCGTGTCGTTCCAGTACCCCGGCGCGACCAAGATTGCCGTGTCGGACGTGACGGTGCAGTGCTCGCTGTCTTCCCGCGTGGCCGTCATCGGGCCCAACGGTGCCGGCAAGTCGACGCTCATCAAGCTGCTCACCGGCGAGCTCGAGGCTACGGTAAGCAATCAAATTCCAGTTCATCGGAAACAACAAATTCACCTGGGTTCAATTTAATCGCGCACAATTTTTTTATTCCCATTTCCTTCCACGTGTATGTTTTGTATTCGCTTTCCCTTTCCCCCCACCTCCACTTCCTGGCTTTTCCCTTTTCCGGAGCCTCCCGTACTGACCGTTGTCCTTTCATCGTATCTGCTCTTTCTTACCCCATGCAGTCCGGCACGTGCTGGAAGCACCCCAACCTGCGCGTGGCCTACGTGGCGCAGCACGCGTTCCACCACGTGGAGCAGCACCTTGACATGACGCCCAACGAGTACATCCGGTGGCGTTACGCCTTCGGCGAGGATCGCGAGGAGCAGGACAAGGTGTCGCGCAAGATCAAGGAGGAGGAGGAGAAGAAGATGGCGGAGAAGGTGGTGATCGACGGCACCAAGCGCATCGTCGACTGCCTGCTGGCGCGCCGCAAGCTCAAGAAGGGCTACGAGTATGAGGTGCAGTGGAAGGGCGGCGTCGAGACCACGTGGCTGCCGCGCAGCACGCTCGAGGAGATGGGCTTCGTGAAGCTGGTGAACGAGATCGACGCCAAGGAAGCCGCCGCGCAGGGCCTCATCACGCGCCCGCTCACCATCGCCATGGTGCAGAAGCATCTGGAGGAGTTCGGTCTCGAGGCGGAGTTCGGAACCCACAGCCGCATCCGTGGTCTGTCTGGTGGTCAGAAGGTGAAGCTGGTGCTGGCTGGTGCGATGTGGAACTGCCCGCACATGCTGGTGCTCGATGAGCCTACCAACTACCTGGATCGCGACTCGCTCGGCGCGCTCGCGAACGCCATCAAGGAGTACGGTGGTGGTGTGGTGATGATTTCGCATAACAGCGAGTTCACGTCGGCGCTGTGCCCTGAGGTGTGGAGAGTGGAGGCGGGTCTGTTGACGCCCGAGGGTGCCCCTGCGTGGTTGAACAACGCGAAGCTGGAGCTCAAGAAGCAGGCGGATGAGATGATTGACGCGTTCGGCAACACTGTCAAGGTGGTGCAGCAGAAGAAGCAGCTCAGCCGCAAGGAGCTCAAGGCCAAGGAGAAGGCTCGCAAGGCCAAGATCGCGGCTGGCGAGCCTGTGAGCGACGAGGAGGACTACTAAGTGAAGCCACATGAACATTTCGCGCTGGTCCAGTTCGCGCTGGGCCGGTCTGTTCCGCTTCGCTCGGTTGTCCGTTCTGTGCTGCTGTGAGGGTTCCTTCGAATCTGCTGCATTCACCGCTGCTGCTATGGTGGCCGTGGGTGTGCGTGAGGGGTTGAGATCTTCACGAAAATGCCTTTCAACTGCAGCTCGAGCGCAAGATGCCAGGTCCCCTTGGTTGGGGTTCTCGGTGTTACGCGAGCGCAGCCCCCTTGAACATAACCATTAGCCGACATAACAGGATTATAATGATAAAATGCTGTAGTTATTCTTTGTATCCTTCAAATGGAATATAAAAAGTGCTACCTACCCTGCCCATGTGTCTATCCATCCCTCCCATTTCCAATTTTGATCCAGCATGTTCTCTCCTAGGTATCTCGTGGCTCCCATCTACCACCATGCTTACCCCCCCTTTCTCCCAATTGCCCTCCACCCCTCTCCCTCCCTCAGTTTCCCAAGGTCCCCCATCATGTTCCAGCATGCTTGCACCTCTAACCAACTCCTGCTTGCACACTACCTCATCTTGCTCTGCTTGTTGGAAGTTTGGAAGCGTTGTCAATTTTGCATGGAACGTGCGCTTTGTCTAAAAAGCTACCGTTTCCTTTTGGCTTGACCTTGCTAACATACGGTACTCCCCATCTCCCCCTCTTTATTCATGGTAAATTAAGAAATATGGTCATCCCCTCCAGCTTTACTTGTTCAGGTACATCATGTCTCACCACCTGAATACCCTGTAACTGTTAAAACCCTTTCCTGCTGTTGCCAAATGTTGGTCATGGATGCCAAAGCTGCAGTTGCAATAGCACGTGTATCATACTTTCTCCTCACTGCTGGTTTTATGGTACGGTAGAAAAGTTGTTCAGGGGATGCTTGGAAAGCAATAACTGTTAGCTTTTTCAGCTGCAGTCACAATACCATATCATGTATACACCAGGGTGACTATACATTCATCAAGCACTTCAATCATTTGTGCCACTATGTATAACGCTTTGCTACCCTTGCCTGGTGCTAGTTACCCACAGTAGCCATCGCAGGGGTGAGAACCTGGGCTGGAACTGCAGGCGGTGCAGATGGATCTGCCGAGTTGATATGCGGGTGAGTATCTGACGGCATTGGCGGTAATGCGAGTGTAGGAATGGGGGGGGAAGTTGGACTAGGTTGTGAGGAGGCGGATGGAGGAGAAGGCAATGCAGTGGAGAGGGATGGAGCAGGGGAGTCTGGGAAAGTTGGTGGGAAGGGGTATGGTGGAGGGGGAGGTAAAGGAGGAGGTGATGAAGCTGGTGCAGGTGGAGGTGGGGGGGATGCAGGTGGGGAAGGAGGGGAAGGTGGGGGAACTGGAGGAGGAGAGGGTGGGGGAACTGGAGGAGGAGAGGGTGGGGGGACTGGAGGAGGAGAGGGTGGGGGGACTGGAGGAGGGGAGGGTGGGGAAGGCGGGCGTGGTGGTGGGGGAGAAGGAGGGGAAGGTGGGGTTGGTGGCGGGGATGGAGGGAAGGGTGGGGGCGATGGAGGTGGGAAGGGAGGAGGGGTTGGTGGCCTGGGCGGTGGTGATGGGGGAGGGGAAGGAGGAGGCGAAGGTGGGCGGGGAGGGGATGGGGGAGGGCGGGGGGGAGGAGGGGACGGGGGGCGCGGCGGGGACGGGGGAGGTGATGGCGGAGGCGGGGGCGAGGGAAGTGGCGGAAGAATCATGATCTCTTCATAATGCGTGCCGGCGTTCTGCTTGATCACACGGTCAGGCCGGCTGGTGTTGCTCAGCAGCAGAGACAGCACGTAGGGGAATACTGGTGCAGCTTGCACCCAGCCGCCTGCTCCCGCTCCTCCTGCGCCGGATTTCACTCTCCCCCACTCGTGAAACGTGGCTCCGTCAAAGAGGTAGTCTCCCACAGAGCGAATCACCACTGTTGGATCGAAATCCGGATTCAGCGGACCCATGCCGTCGCGCCACGTGGTCACCTCCGGTGGCGCCTTCCCCGTACTGCCCGGCCCCTGCTGCTGTTGCAATCCGCTGACGAATTGCTGCCCGGGACGAAAGAAATTGCTCTCAGACCACACAGTGGCGCCTCGTCGGGCGGCAAGGCAGTAACCCGACCACGAGGTGTAGAGGTTGTTCGCCACGTGGCAGACGCCACGTCGGCAGAGCGGCTGCATGGAGGTGGATGCGTCGAACCAGTTGCGGAAGATGGTGACCCGCGAGGTGGCGTCCGCTGGATCCCCGTCCTGGATTCCCATCTGCGCACCACGCACACACGGCCGCACGTCAATAGGAGTCGCATTAAGAGACCGAATTCTAGGAAAGGCGGGGAGCAAAGGCGAAGTTGTGCAAACGTGACAGGGAGAGACAAAGGCGTCGAGCATCACTACTAGCAAAAGCATGCGACGTAGGCGGCGGGTGAAAGACGCAGAAGCGAAGTTGTGAGAGGTCGCGGACCTGGATGACGCGCGATCCCGGCAGCGAGTTGCGGATGTAGTTGTTGGAGATGGTGACGTCAGTCGTGCCGTGCCATCCCTCGATGATCGCCCCCGTCGCGTCGTGTAGGCTGCAGTGGTCTATCCACACGCGCTTGCACCCGTACAGCGTTATCAGGCTCCCGCGCGGCTGTCCCGCAACTGCCATCATGCGAACGCACGTACGAAGGGAAGGAGCGTGATTAAGTCCGTGATCGTACGGCGAAGATTGGTAGCAAAAAGAAACGGCGGAAATGAGAACGAAACAACACTGAATCGTGCGGCTTTCCACGGCAATTGTTCCACGGAATTCACACCCGCATCGCGTTCCACCTTTCCACGGATAAATTCATCCGCGCGGCGCGCACCTTCGACGTTGTGAATGATCACGTCGCGCGAGCCCGACAGCACGAGGGTGCCGTTGAGAATGCGCACTTGCGCGCCCTGGCCGTCGATGGTGACGAAGGACGGCACGAATAGGTCGGCCTGCAGCCACACGTCCATGGACGCGTCGAACGCGATGTACGCGCCGCCCGAGAGATACTGCAGCGCCCACCGGAGCGATCCCACGGGGACCGCCGACGCGTCCGCGGAGTCGAAGCTCGTTGTCACCACGTAGCGCGGCTGGCGATTGCGGGTAGGAAGAGGGGGAGAAAATGGTTCGAGGACAAAGATAAGGATTATTCACGTTAGAAAAAAACAAATAAATAAAAAAACAAACAAAAAAGTTGCAAAAAACGACGGCGATTTTGGTGCAGAATGTAAGTTAATGAAATCGCGGAGTTTGAAGTCACTAATACTGCGACGTAGTTCTCACCTGGAATCGTCCACCGTTGATCCTCGCCGATGCAGCATACCCCATGGAGCATGCGGTGATGTCCAGCGCGTCGTATTGGCAGTCGCGCGACTCCGCAACTGCCGGCGAGCTTGGCGGCGGAGGTGGCGCTCGTGTCACTGGCGTCGACGCGGGAGGAGATTCCGGATAATCCGAGTCAACGTCGGTCCACGACGCAGCTGCGCCTTGGTCGTACGGAACGACTTCCTTCGAGGAAAGGATTGGTCTTGACTTGATGGCTCCGGGTGATGGTGGAGTCCCGTTGTAAGAATCCAGCGGTTGAGGCTCCGCGGACGCTTGAGAGACGAGTAGCTGAAGTCTCGCGCACAGCAGAGAGACGAGTGCGAGCTTCGCCATCCGTCGCCCGCAGAAATATACGGAAGGTCTTCGCAGAGGAAAGCTGACGCCATGGGAGGGAACCATACTTCGTACTGCTACTTCGCCCTCTCCTTCATGCAGCTCTCAGCTTCGTACCAACCAAAGGACAGATCAGCGTACAGTCGCTATAGGGAGAAAGAACTGTCGGAGTGCGCACTCTGAATGAAAAAACAATATGCTGCGATGGAGAAGGTGGGGTCTCAAGCGTCCCTTATGTAGTGATCTCTATGTCGCGCTGCGCAACCAGCATGTGAGAATCCTGAGACATCGAAAGGTGGTGGAGTGCAGCACATCAGTGTTGGCGGGGAGGCGTGGATGGGTGTTGAAGGGCAGGCAGCCAGACGTCAGGTGGCAGGAATCGAACCGCATGTTGGCGGCGAGAGCGCTTCGGTTGGCGGCAGATCTGTTGTGGTGCTTGTGGTTTTTGAAGAGGTAGAACACTTCGAGATAGAGTTTAGAGTTAGGGGATGATGTTGATAAGAAGTATGTTTCTATTATCATTATTATTACATAATGCCAAACTCTTTTCCTGTCAACGTACACACACACATATTTGCATGTGTACTTTTAGGACAGGATGAATTTACTGTAGAGGGTATAGGCTGTATTCCATTATACGCTGCTGCAATCAGAAAGGGATCGCTGCCAGGGTCTCCTCAGGAAGGTTCGCACGCAACTAGGTAGTAGTGGTGGGCCCTTGACCTCAATAGCAGAGTGAATGTAAAATGCTTGAGATAATAAGAACATGCAAATACAAAGATATAAATATGAGTACAGGGGAATCTAGATCGACCTCGCTAGCCATGTACTCTAAGGGGTACATTCCCTTATTCAAATTCATTCCCAACCGTGCGGCGCGTACAGTTACGAAACTGTTCCCGCCAAATTCCTCTTGCCTGTAGCTGCTTGATGCCGTTTGCTCCGACAGACCAGATCCTCCCTAACCGTCTGACGCTTGGAGTCAACTCTGACTCCTCGCATTCATTCTCTTTACTGCGTGCTTCCCTTAGCTACGGTTTAGGAGTGCACAGTAATGTTTCATTCATTACTATTCGTAACACCCCCCTTCACTCTAGCTCGACTTGACCTGATTAACAGGGCCCTCGCTATCATACATTTTTGTCTGTTTTTCTGAGGAATCAGAGGCTTTTTTTTCCTAGTAATCTGATTTTTAAGAAATCGAACGTTTGTGAAGTCTGATGAATAAGATATTTTCCATTTTGTCTGATGAAAAAGACGTGCGTGTAGCGATTCCTCTGTTTTTCCAAGTACTTGTATCAGTTCCGTCTGAAACCGACTTTTATACAGTCTGCCGTGATTGACGCGTGATTTGGTTTAGCTGCGCCAATCACGACAAGATCAGTACACCTGTATGCATGATTGAGGTGACGGCGCAGCGGAGCGCACTGACAGAAGTCAAGTGCTGGCAATCTGGCGCACATCAGGCCAACTTGGGCCACATTCAGACAAAAGTGGAGCATCTCTTTCTGTTACTGGTCAACTTTCAAGCCAGCGCATCAGTTGTGTGGATTGCACCGCCTCGCGCGACTCGCACTGACTGTTGCCCAACGTCCCGCTGGACGATGGCTGGAGTGGGGCACCGCGGTGCGTTGTAACCTCATGCATGCACCTCGTTCAGCTGATAATGCTCGGCTGGCTCCCCCTCCCTCTCCAACGCTCCTTTCACTCGCTTGCACAAGGCAATTCTTTCCCTTGCTCTCTCAGCCGTCTTGACACCATCCTCCTAGGGCCCTGTAGCCATGGATTGTGGGGACGATGACGACTCTGCTAGGTCGCGTCGTCCACTTACTGGTCTCGACTTTCTGAGAGGCGGTCCGCATACCGCCACGCCTAAAAGAGATCCGGCCGAGCAGCCCCCAGTTACCAAAAACAAACCAACGGAAGCACGGAGCCATGGCCGGCTTTCAATGAGCGGCAACCGCTGAGCGATCCGCCTGTGGAAGGGACGCCCATTAGAACGACCGGGCGCGTCGTGACTCCCACTGTCAGTGCTGTCCGAACAGCAGGCGTCTCAAGCTTCCCGAAGTTCGGGAAGTTCACTCAATCGACAATTCGGTTTGCTCGAACGCGCGTACCTCATGTGCGCCTCACGCAAGGAAGGTCGCCCTCTCTCGCAGCTGTTGCAACTCCGCTGACGCCAGCGACTGGCACGAGCAGGGTGCCTTCGGATCCAGGGCCGTCCAGGCCGTCTGTTTTGGTTCCAGATCCTGAAGCGCTTCTCGAAGAACTAAAGAAGAAGTGCACCGACATCTGGCAACGTCGTTTCCCCTGGCTGCTGATTTCACAAAGGAAGGATGGTCGCCCGTGCATGAAGTGCAGCGTCTGCATCAGATACGGACCGCCACACTGGCAATACGGCAAGGCGATGAGGGTGGCGTGGACATCCAGAAGCAGACCATGCGCAAGCATGGTCTGAGTCGCAAGCATCAGAACGCCCTCGATTGTAAAGCCCGAGCCGAAGGTGGTGAAGTGGCTCAACGAGGGATTGATGAGTATGAGGATGGGGTGGGGGAGATTGAGCCTTTGAAACAACTTCTATTAGTAGTGCTTTTCATCTGCAAGTCGGATGCACCTATTGCGCTCTTTGTTGGCCTTGTGCACCTGCTACAAGTTCTCAAGACCCCCAACATTCCCGACAAGGCCATCGGCACCTACCAGACGGAGTGAGTAATGCTACGTGATGTGTAGTTTAGGTACTTATCATCTTTGACTTAGTGTCGTGATTTTTCCATGGCAGGTATGGGTTTAGAGAGATTGTCAGAATGAACGGACAGGAATGATTGAACTAGCAGTGAAATGAGTACAAGTACCTAACCCTAGAAATGTGTACCCCCTAAAGGCTAACCCACTGTAGCCTAAACAACCACAACATATATAATGTTTGACACACCCCCATAGGCAAAGTGGGGGAGAACAAGGGGTCACAAGACCAGTCAGAGCAAAGCAAAGCAAAAGCAAGCTCAGGGTGGACCTCAAGGATACCACACAAATTCCGAGCACAAGCTAGTGGTCACAAGACCAGTTCACATGCAGGTTTATAACAGAGCAAGAGATACAGTGATCACAACCTAGCAAGAGTAAACATGCAGGTATAGATATATATAGTGATCACAGTACAAGTAAAGTCAAGAGGTAAGTAAGTGAGGTCCAGTAGGCACAAGGCCTAGAAGAGTGCAGAAGCGCTGATGGTCACGAGGCTGAAGCGCCTTGGTGAACACATCAGCAGTGTTGGCCTCAGTGGCCACGTAGCGAATAGAAAGCTGACCGCGCTGCTGCAGCTCACGAGCAAGGAAGTACCGCAGGGCGATGTGCTTCGTTCTGTGCTCCAGTCTGTGCTCCTCACACAAGGCAATGGCAGCCTTGTTGTCGACGTACAGTACTGGAGGAGAACGAGGCCGCTCTCCGAGGTCGGTCAGCAGGTAGGTCAGCCAGCGTAGCTCCTGGGCAGCCATGGCTGTAGCGTAGATCTCAGCCTCGCAACTGGAGCCGAGAACAGAAGAAGAGCGTGTAGAGCGCCAAGAAACTGAGCCAGAGCCAAGGCTGAAGGTGTAACCCTGAGACGACCGCTGAGTGGCCTGGTCGTCTGCCCAAGAAGCGTCTGAGTGCCCTGTGAGAACAACTCGGTCTCGCCCTCCAAGCACAAGCCCCATGCCCGACGTACTGCACAAGTAGCGCAACACCCTCTTAGCGGCATCCATGTGCTCCTTCCTGTGACGGCCAGGAGCGACATAGCGTGCAAGGATGCTAAGAGGGTATGCCAGGTCAGGTCGAGTGCAGGTCATCAGGTACATGAGGCAGCCCACAAGCTCTGGATACGGGCCACTCGGCTCTACGGACTCATCCGAAGGCAGAGCTGAGAGCGAGTGACCGGTAGGCAGAGGAGTGGACTGAGGCGAGGAGTACGTGAAGCGGAAGCGCTAATGCGAGAACCTGCTGCACCATGTGTGACTGAGTCAGGGTGATGGTGCGCCGTGCTCTGTCCCGGGTGATCCGCAAGCCAAGATAGCTTGTCAGCTCACCCAGGTCTGTGCACGTGTGTCTCCTCTGCAGCTCCGACTTCACGTAGGCGAGTCCTGCAGTGTCAGCAGTGGCAAAGACCAAGTCGTCGACGTACACGAGGATGTAGAACGGCGGCAGCGAAGAGTCGGTGCGCAGGAACAGGGACGGGTCAGCTGTAGAAGGCGCGAACCCAAGAGCCGCAAGTGTAGTCCTCAGTGTGTCGTGCCACTCACGCGGAGCCTGGCGGAGACCGTAGACCGGCCGCTGAAGCCTCCACTGGGTACCAGGAGGAAACGACCCAGTGAAGCCAGGTGGGCGGCGCAGCCAGATCTCCTCGTGCAGGCTGCCCTGCAAGAAAGCAGTGCTGAAGTCAAGTGAGTGAAGCTCGTAGTCGCGGTGAGCGGCTATGTGCAGCAGCACCCGAAGAGTAGTCATCTTCGGGGTGGGGGAGAAGGTCTGGAAGAAGTCAACTCCCTCTCGCTGACTGAAGCCTCGAGCCACGTAACGCGCCTTGAAGACAGGCGGAGAACCCGGCGGCCGCTTCACCCTGAAAATCCACATGCCACTGACGATGTTCGCCCCAGGAGGGGGAACCTCGTCGACGTAGGTGCGTGTGGACTTCCAGGAAGCCATCTCGGCGTCCATGGCTGTCTGCCACTGAGAGGAGTAGGGACCCGCCATCGCCTCAGCGTAAGTGCGCGGGGTCGGGATGTCTGGTGCATCCGGGTCTCCCTCAAGGGCAACTAGCAAGGACACGAGACGGGGCAAAGCAGCAGCAAGACACTGGAACTCCTCCTGTCTGTCCTCAAGGACGTCCGTGCCAAGAGCACACTCACCCCCGACGGACGGAGGACAGACAGACTCAGACTCAGACTCAGCAACAAGGCTAGCAGCGTAGTCTAGACGACAGGCAGCAGCAAAGTCAACCAACTCAGCGACCAGAGCAGACGCAGTCGAGGACTCAAAGGTAGGGTCAGTGACAACAGTAGCAAGGAGACGCGTGACAGTAGGGTGCTCAGCACGAT